TCTAAAGACACATTTAAAATATATAGATATCAATATATAAAACTCCAAAATGTGTTAAAGATGTTCTATGTCGCAACGATCACTTGTATTCTTTAATCGCTATATATCGGAACTATTTCAATCAAAATTCAAATTGACAAGGTCTTTTGTGTCTTTCGGAGTTCACATATATGTACACTGCATGGCATTACAACATGTGATTTGTTTTTCAATAATATACAAAACACTTACATTTTCACCTTTAAAAGTCTTACTTTTGTTAAATATTATAACATACTGGAGAATACACGGATAACAAAAATGTACAATAATAAGTTTGAAGCCAAAACAGGGCACATGACGTCATTTTATATTGTTGTATTCTTACAATGTTCTGTACCAAGTCGAGAATATGGCAGTTGTTATCGCATAGTCCGTTTCTATGTATTTTGGATTTGTTTATGTGGCAGTTTAGTGTTTCTGTTATTCCGTTTCGTTTTCTAGTTGATGTGTTTCCCTCTTTGTGACCCTGATATGTTTTAATAAATGGATTTATGACCATTGTAGAGCGGTATACTACTATTAGCTTATTGTATGCAAAGAAAACCCAGATCTACGTGTACTAAATAAAAAAGAATGTGCTTTTATTTAGAAAATAGAGGTCACCACCATTGACATGAAATAGTGTTAATATTTCTATATTGGCATTCCATAATTCGATTTTAAAGCATGCTATACTCAATTATCACTATTTATAAATATCACATATCTGCCCACTATCGCAAAATTCAAATATAATCAGCTGTGTTATTTTAACAGTTTGTTCCATTACTGATAATTGGTTTAAATCTCACTTGGAAAATTAACCGCCATTAACAAATAGCCATTGAAATATAAATCTGGTGTGATATCTGTCAACTGATTTAACAAAAGGTTGTGATCATCTTTCATAGCGAAGTTCATGATCAAATTATAACTGTATATGAATATCCTACCATTTCAACTCAGAAATGTAAACTGTAAAGAATTCAGATGGTACCAAACACTTTCGCTAAAATTAATTTGGCTCGTTTAATTTTCATAAAATTTTGACAAAATATTTACTTTGACTCTATGACAAAAATATAAAAATTTAAAAGGAATGAACCACAAACTTTATCGGAAAATTTTCGTTGCACAAATAGAAGTTTGACTGAAGCCAATTTTGATCATTGATAAGCTTAATATGTCCTGAACAATAGAACGTAATTAAATCGTTCAGCTGGTTTTTACAGAGTTATCTTCCTGTAGTGTTATGTACCATCTTAAGAAAACAATCTATGACTTGGATGGAGAGTTGTCTCATTTGCATTTATATCACATCTTCTTATATCTAAATGTTGTTCTGAACAGATATACCAATAGTGACTGGATAGCCATATTTCAATTTCAATGTTTTTTTTTTAAACAAAAGTTTATGCTATACTGTCTGTTGATACAACTTCGAATTCCTTTATGATATATTATTATGATTGTTGTAATAGTACACCATGAAATAATCAGTCATCCAAAGTCATATTTGTATGTTTTATCAAGTGTACATCTAACGGACATCAAATTACCAACGTTCTCGAGATGAGAAACTTTAGAACAATCTGTATTGCCAATTAAACTCAGTATTGTTTGTTTGTGACCGAAAACAACTGATAATTATTTCATTCTATTTGTGAATACTTGATTTAATGCGTTGTTCGATCGATCTTTCAATAGGTTTCTATATTTGAATTCTTGATATAGTTACATGTATTCTATGAATATTGTTGAATTGTGCATTTGTATATTAATAAGATAACTTGACCGATAAAGTAAGATAGACAACATTGTGTATCAATTGAGCAAAAGTAATATTGAAATAGATAATTGTAATTATTATAACCTTGGTCATTTTTGAAAATTATTTTGACCGGTGTGACAAACATGTCACGTTTAACACAATTATAGTTGAAGGTTACAGTTATTATAATTTGCTGATTCAGCAAACAGTTAGAATATATAAAACATTGCCATGTATATTTTGTTCAAGTGGCGAACACGATTTCAGAGGTAAGCATTTTATTTTTAAGTGTATTATACATCTACCTTAAATGGTGTTTCTTTGTTAATTTATAATTTACATTTACGGTATCGTTTTGGCCATTTCAACAATTGTGGCTTAATTGCTGCTAGTAGCAAAAAAAATATAATTTAAAAAACCTGATGAAAATTACGAAATCATATTTGTATGTCAACTTTAGAACACTTTCAACAAGGACCTGATAAGTGTGTATGCAACGCGGTTTATACAGTAATAAAACACTGGTGTTCTATGGAACAAGAGAGAAATGTTTATCAATTTGTTAAAATGAAATAGATTGTTGATTGTTTCAATATGACGATCTTCGTTTCTTTTAAGTTTGTAAATGAGAAGTTTATTAGTAACTGTGTTGGTTTGTAGCACCTTTTTCTATTTTGCACTTCAATTTGTTATTTTTCTTTTAAGTTTATTTTAAAAAATGTAGACGTATAATAGATTTGGAATTCAAATTATGCGTTTTCGTGTACAACACTCAGTATCAAATAGCACCAATCATAACATATCATCATTTGAAAACGTATGGAAAGCTTAAAGTTTTTAATTTCCAGTTGCTACACTCGTAGTATAAAATGTCTATCGCATTTTGCTTTCTGCTAGAACTGTTAAATTTATGTAGTGATAAAAAAAGTGTTATATTGTCTAACTGCAAATACTTAGTTTGGTGTATGGCATATTAATAAATCATTGTTAAACTATGTTTTGAATTGAAAATCCAATCTTGTAAAATAAGTAAAGATCAAGATACCACAATCCCTACTGATTTAAAATTACATATTTATTCAGTGAAGTTATTAATTATTTATAAAAGAAAAACCAAACGAAAATCTACTGATATAGGTCTTAACTAGAAGAGTCATTCTTACATGACTTCAATTAGCTAAGATGTTAGTGTTTAATACAAAACCGATCAAAGTTGGTACACTATAATAAAATCCGTCTCGTAAATTTTTGACTGACGTTCTTTGCTGTTTTGCTGTGTTAATGAGATCTCATTAAATCATATGTCCTCCATGAAGATAAGGATAATGCATGAAACATTGTGAAATGACCTCCAGTAGTTTTCATGATATCGTAACTTTACTTTTATGTAAAGTGGATAACAGTAAAACTTGATAGGACATGTTTTAATATAACATAACCTATTTTTTTTTAAAGGGGAAATAGAGTTTAACAAATTTCCACCTTCTTATCATACATTTTTTTGTGTACATATTACTTTTATAATAAATACAAATCAAATATTCTTCTTTTCACATGACTTGTATGTTTGCCAAGTGTCAGATATTTGTTGATTATAACAAAGATAGTTGTCCGACAAATTGTAAATATAATTGATGATTGTAATATATTTGTTTACAAACAAAGAAACAGGTAAAACTATGGGTAATTTAATTTGGGCGAAATCTGCAAATAAAAAGATAGGCTAACATTTTAAAGGAAAACACAATTTCATAATAAAGAAACTTTTCTTTTATCAGGCTGCAATTTTCCAAAAGTATTTATGATTATACTTCCAATACAAACTTAAATAGTAAAATATATAGTAAATATTTCACCAAAAGGTTTCACGTGTAAATTATTTCGACTACTTCATGATCAGTTCTTTTTTCGCAAAGAAAAGAACCGATAACTGGTATCGCAGGTAATTACTGTATGACTTTATAGCTTATCACGATTGACTGTAATAACAATGGATATTACCAAGCCTTAATTATTATAAAATCAATTAGAGTAAGTAGTCTTCCTGGATATTCAATAATGAACGTATCAAGGATACGTGATGGAATGCTGTACACCAAATATATATATAATTAGCAAATTGTGCAATAAAAGTCTTTAAAGTGTGTTAAGAATATATAACAATATTTTCTGCTCTTTATAAAATGAGAAATTTTTTATCCAAGGAAGCTCTCCGTGAATTCAAAATTAAGTTTGTTAGTGCCATAAAGTATGTTTTTCTTTTTAAATGAGTAACATCATAATCGTTTACATTTACCATACATGTTTCCAAGTAACAATCATGTAAGACGAAAATTGAAAAATCGTAAATATTATGCACTGAATATGCTATAACCAATGATGTTTACCTTTGTCATGTTTGTTTACTCTGGTGTGTGTTGATTTAGAAACAAGATTAACTGATGTCACTGTGCTTTGTAGAACATGATGACGCGTTCAAATGGCTATGTACTCTTCTGTGGTATCTTGGTTGTTTGTGTTTTGGCAATACATATAGCAGGTATGAACATATTTAAGGCGGTTTATACAAACGGCATGATTTTAAATGCTTGTAACCAAAAAGATCGAAAGAAATTTACTCAAAGAAACAAAAAGGAGTCAATGTTGATATATCGACGGTTCGGTGTGAATATTTGTAACAATATCCAAATGAGTTCATATCCAAGTAATTAACATGACTAAGTCACAAAAAAATTTTAAAAAATCATCTTCATTATCTTATGTAAATTTTTCACTTCTTTTTTTATTTGAAATTACAAGCATTTTAACATGTTACACTAAATGAATACGTATAAGTCATGTCTTATATTGAATCAACGCAATCTTTGTGGGTGTATGTGTTAGTTTAGGTAAAACTGGCTTTGAAAAAATACACCACATTATATAGACCTATTATAGATTGACTACCTTTCAGGAAGGTATGCATGCGATCAACATTGATCTTGATGGTAGAAGATTTACCTTAATACTCTAGAGAAATAAAACGTCATTATACTGTAATTGCGCTTAACTTAAATCAGCTAGTTATGTATCCGTAGTTTATTTGTATTGACTGTATAAATATGTTCCTATTTGTGAACTTAAAATTGTAACAATTTATAAGTAGTTATTTGAGATCTGATGATTTTATTGTTGTTCTAATAAAGCTAAAGAATGTCTGCAAAATACAATGGGTTTGGCTTATAATGGAACCGTAAGTACAACAATCACTGGACGTAATTGCAAGAGTTGGGCAGGAATAACTATTAATGACGAATTGCAAACAGCTCAACATAACTATTGCCGAAATCCTGATGCATCCTCAAATGGACCTTGGTGTTTTACAACTGACCCTGAAGTATTCTGGGAATTTTGCAGTATTCCGTTATGTGGTAAGTTGCATATATACATCTGAACCTGATATATTCTGGGAACATTGCAGTATTCTCTGATGTAGTAGGTTGCATATTTACATCTGACCCTGATATATTCTGGGAACATTGCAGCATTCTCTTATGTGATAGGTTGCATATTTACATCTGACCCTGATATATTCTGGGAACATTGCAGCATTCTCTTGTGTGGTAGGTTGCGTATTTACATCTGACCCTGATATATTCTGGGAACATTGCAGTATTTCCTTTGTGGTAGATTGTATATTTATATCTGACCCTGATATATTCTGGGAACATTGCAGTATTCCCTTATGTGGTATGTTGCATATCTACATCTGACCCTGAGATATTCTGGGAATATTGCGATATACCATTATGTGGTAGTTTGCATATTTTCATCTGACCCTGATATGTTCTGGGAATTTTGCAGTATTCCGTTATATGGTAGGTTTTATACGTATAATTAATTTGTTTTAATATTTTCCATGTTGCTCTCTCTTTATTGGCTGTTACTTTACAAGAATTTTGCAGTATTCCGTTATGTGGTAGGTTTTATAAGTATAATTAATTTGTTTTAATATTTTCCATGATGCTCTCTCTTTATTGGCTGTTACTTTACAAGAATTTTGCAGTATTCCGTTATGTGGTAGGTTTTATAAGTATAATTAATTTGTTTTAATATTTTCCATGTTGCTCTCTCTTTATTGGCTGTTACTTTACAAGTTTTCAGAAGTTGGAAATGAGGATTCAAATGATGACACCATGTTAAAATTATTAAGTATAACAAAAATTACAGTAGAAGTCATTGTTTTTATTTTTAACACTATTAAATGGAACATTTGCAATAAGTAATGTCTAATATAGAATCAAAACAATCTGTGTGCGTGTATATGTTAGTTTAGGTAAATCTGGCTTTGAAAAAATACGCTACATTTTATAGACCTATTTAGATTGACGACCTTTCCGGAAAGTATGCACGCGATCAACATTGATCTTGATGGAAGGAGATTCACCTTAACATTCTAGAGAAAGAAAACATCATTATACTGTATTTGCGGTTAACTGAACTCAGCTAGTTATGTATCCATAGTTTATTTGTATTGACTTTCTAAATGGGTTCCTAGTTGTAAACTTAAAAATGTAATAATTTACACATAATTTTTAGAATACTGAATAATTTTATATATGTTCCAATAAAGCAAAAGAATGTCTGCAAAATACGAAGGGTTTGGCTTATAAAGGAACCGTAAGTACAACACGCAGTGGACATAACTGCAAGAGTTGGGCAGGAATATCTATAAATAACGAAATACAAACAGATCAACATAACTATTGCCGAAATCCTGATGCAGACCCTAATGGACCTTGGTGTTTTACATCTAACCCAGATGTCTTATGGGAAGAGTGCAGTATTCCGTTATGTGGTAGGTTGCATATTTACATCTGACCGTGATATATTCTGGGAATATTGCAGTATTCCGTTATGCGGTAGGTTGCATAAGTATATTTTGTTCTAATATTTTTTATTTTTCTCTCTCTTTATTGGCTGTTACTTTGGAGAAGTTTGAAATGAGGTTTGAAATGATAACACCATTTTAAAATTAGTAAGTATAAACAATTACAGCAGAAGTCATTGGGTTTTTTAGCACTATTAGATGGAACATTTACAATATGTTGTACATCTGTATCTGTAACAGTCACTTCCTTATTTGGGTTTATGAAAGATAAATATCATTGTTTACTAGCCACTAGTTCCAACTTGTTAATTTCAAATCATCCTTTCGAAACTTTTACGGACGTCTTCACGAGTTGGTTGACCATAGTTGAATATTTGTTTCACAGTTGTGAACGTAAATAGTCCATTTGAGGCCTGCTTAATTAAATTAAGTAAAGGGTGGTAGGAATTCGTGTTGGTCAGTCTTCAATGTTGCATTGTAATTTGTATACTGTTGGTTCACTTTTTGTCTTATTAAATTGTCAGTTTATTTTTTTAATTTTGTCTTTAAAAGACCGTTTTGCAGATCTCGCTTCTTTTGGTTTGTGTTATTTTCTAGGTGAATTATAAAGCTTCACTTTTGGAGTATAACTGACTCGGTAAAATTTGACAGACCTGAATTTTGGATAATATGAAACTGACTATCCGGATATTCCAGTCTTTCCAATTTTTACCGAGTTTGTTGCAAAAATTATTTAAAATCTCCTAAATTATAATCAGCTAAACGTGAAAAATGCATTAGATTATCGTCCTCATCATATGGAATGATAAGATATTTTATAATTTTGGGGGGAAATTATAAGAAATATTTTGCAGTAACAAACATGACAAACGCATTTAAGGTTAGCCTTTGTAGCCATCAATCAAAATTTTATGGCTAAATTTAGGTTTCAAAGTTGAAAGCAAAATTGCCTCTCAAAATCAAACCATAAAAATTAGCTTTAGCGTTGTGCACTGGTTCTCCGTTAAAGCGCCCATTTTATGACGTTAATTTGTCCCACCGTAAGAAAGCAAAACTAACGACCTCGAGTTATATATACCCGTAGCTTGTTATACTTATATCTGAGATTTTTATATTTCTTTATTATCTATATTTTTAATTTTTATAAAGTTAAGTACATGTTGCACAACGATAGTGATCGGTACGGCCGTCAAAATATTTTTTTCGTAAACCTGTAATTTCCGTTAACGGAAAAAAGACCAAGCAGGACAAAATATTAAGCACAACATTGAGTGTGATATGAGTTAAATTTGATTATAAGGTTACCATAAATAATTTTGTTTATAACTATGGTCATTTATTCCAAATCATATCAGTCTGAAAAACTAAAGAAAGTTGAAAACTGCAGAGATTTGTTAAGCATGTAATCTCCGTGGAATGGTCTATTCTAAACAAACACCTATTTTGAAAAAATGTTTTACATCCAACAGATCGATATCGGTGTCAACATTTAATTTTAGTACAACTTCAATCTTCAGATACACGTATTATGTTTTATAAATGACGAAATCATCGAAATGTAACCTCCGTGGAATGTAATCTCCGTTGACGTTTTGGTAAAGAGTGCTTTCTATCACGTCCGCACTGCATGCCAAATAAATATATTAGATAATTATAACGGACGGCGAATATATAACTTACAGATCAATAACATACATTGTAATTATCGACATAAGAAGACACTATGTGACAATTTATATTAATTAATTGTTTAAGCGTAACACAGTTGCATTTTTCTCAGACCTAGAAAAAAACCGAACCGGATGTTTTTATAGAGAATAATACATGGCAAAATCCGTATCACGCATGTGATACGGATTTTGCCATGTATACGCTTTATCACAGATTTAAACAGGAGAGTGTATAAGAACTGCTTACTGATCTAAAGCACCAGGGTCACATTCAGATTTATTTATTTTTGCCATGTTTTAAAAGTTTTATCATATATAGGAACTGCTTATTGGGTTACCTTACAATTTAGGTTCTGTTGTCCATTGAAATATTTTGCTTATTGTATTTTTTGTTTGTTCGTGATTTGTATGGTAGTTCATTCAGTTCTTTTTATCCTCCTTAAGTAATGCTGTACTATACAAAACACATTCTGAATAAAACCTGTTAATAAAAAAATAGCAACAATAAACCAACAATTTAACAACAAGTATACTGTAATAAACAAGAGACTACTTTGAGACTGGTGAGTAAAATGTGCACTTTTGAAATATAAAAATCTAGTTTAACAAACATCGGACTTCATGTAAATTTAGTCGGAATCACTACTGTCATAAATGAGAAATCCCAATAGGGGTGCGATAAAGGGTAGACATGCGATAGAGGGGTGTGATAATGGGTGCGCATCAAAGTTGGGCGATACGGATTAAACAGCAGGCTATTTATCAAATATTCAAAACTTCTGTATTTACTACTAAATATAAATTATGATAAATATCAATATTAATGCAAGTAAATAATTTTAACCTGTTTTCAATATTCAAGATATGTAACGTTTATTATTAATATAAATTTGATACCGAATTTAATACGATTTAACAATTATGCAAGTAGCCATTAAAATTGCTCTGCCTAATGAGTTTTATATCATGTTGCACAGGGAAACAAGCTTTTAAATATTTTCTTTCATTTAAATGAAATTACGACGTCGGCTGAGAGGGCATGCTATATATTGTCCGTTACATTTATTAACAACACCTTGAACAAATATTCTTTTCGAAAATTAAAACAGTTAAATAGATCAACAAAACTATCCGTCACAATATGATATATATGACGGTCTGGATTAGGGGAGGGGGTCTACTTTTCTGTATTCTGTAATTCTTTAGGCCATTTTTCTCTATTCAGTAAGAAATATGATTATTCTGTAAAATTCTTGTGTTCAGATCCTGCATATGAAAATTTCCTGTTGTATCATAATATTGACATGATAAATCTTGTTGTCTGTATCAACGACATACGTATGACGACACTGCCCCGTACCCCAACCCCCTTTATTTTAATCTGTCACTCTACTGCACAAATTATACCATTTATCAATTTTGATTAATATCTGAATATCTGATTAAAACCAAACGGGGGAGAAAAAGACCATTTTAATTTCTTTGTGATAATTTGGATATCTGGGATAATAAACAGAAGTTAAGATGACAGGTGGTATATTTGATCATATTTGGTTTGTCATATGAGGTACTAGTACTGAGAAGCTGAACATTGAGTTTTATAACAGAGACAGTACCGGTTGTTAACCGACATTAAGAGAAATCTGAAATCCGATAGAGTAAAAATTCGATCACTAGAACTAGATTTTATCCTTGATTGCCCAACTGTCCAACAAAATATTAAAACATTGCCTATTAATCAATTGTTTTGGAGAATATTAAAATATATTTAACATTTATTGGTACTAAAAATACCCCCAAAAAATCTAAGAAAATGTCATCCGTCCTCAAGCATCAGTCTTCCAGCCCTTACCAATAAATTGGGTTTTTTTTTAAATTATAATGAGTTATGGATCTTACAAATATGAAACTGAAGATGTAGGAATTATGTCGACGAAAGAGCCGTTTTGATTCTGCAATTCTTTTCAATTCCCTTTAATTATCCATTGATAAATTTTGAAATTATAAAGAAACTAAGGTTTCAACTCCATCGGGCAAAGTTAATCTTCGACTGATTTGGCTATTTTTTTAGGTCCTTTTTGGTCATATAGCTCATCAACTCTTTCTGTTCTTTTACATCTGGGCGTAAATGATGAAGATAAATCCAAAATAGCGCTTCGGAACGAAATGATACGTTAACTCGTGCAAGATCGTGATTTTGGAGAAAAATACCGATGCTTATGGATGTATATAATTTGCATCGCTAATTTCCAAAAACCAGTTCCGATTACGACCAGTTCAACATTTCATTCCAAATGATCTACTTGTCTATTGTCAATTATCAATAATATATTTGATATGCAGAAAACGCAAAGTTTCATTATTCTGTAAATTATTTATTTCTGAAATTAGTATTTTTTTTACCTTATTCTTATTTTTTATACAATTATGATTTTCACACCCCATTATTTTCTATTCTTTATTTGATTGCCTATTTTTCTTCATTCTTTATTTTTTAGGGGGGGGGGACATTATTTTCTATTCTATAAACCACCTCATATATCTTGGGTTATTTCAAATAGATATCAGATATTCAAGCGGAATAGGATTCATAATACTACTAGGCCTCGGTGGCAGAGTGGTCTAAGTAGTTACTACTGTAATCACTAGCCAGTCAACACTGAGGTTGTGAGTTCGAACCCCGCTCGTGCGGGTGCACTCGACTCCAATCTTAATTGACTATGATAGTCAGTTTTCCTATCGAAGGTCGGTGGTTTTCTCCGGGCACTCCGGCTTCCTCCACCAATAAAAACTGGCCGCTACGAAATAGCCCAAAAGCGGTGCTTAAAAGTGGCGTTAAAACACCAAAAAAACCAATCAAATCATAATACTACTAGTATAAGAGTATCTACAAGGAGAAGCTGTTTAGTTGGTCGTTTTTAATGGTCTCTTTTAAAATTAAAGTCGGTGAGATTAATATGCTACAACCAACCAACAAAGAGGGTTGCCTATACTATGAATAACAAATCTATTGAAAATGTTTTTATATTTTATTTTTAGCTGTTTGTTTTTGATTTTGTCGTCTCTCTCTCTCTCGTCATGGTTTTGTTTATTTCTATTGGAGTTGGGTTTTTTTTTTTAATTCTTTTTTAACGACAACGCATGCAACATCTTATTTATTGTTTGAAAATTCTTCTCTCGGTCATAATTCTACATGAAATATTTGCCACTGTACGTTCAGAAAACAACAATCAATCAATCATTTCTCCTCTAAAATTGCAGTATTATAATAACTTTAAACATTATCAAAGTGTGATTCGTTTAATCCTTTGATCTGATATAAACACGTCTCGTCACTCTCCTATATTAAAATTTCAATTTCCGATACCAAGGAAAAAAGTATTATTGAATATCAAAGGAAGTAACCAATCAAGATTCAAGGGTTGTGTTTCGTCTACAAAAGAAAATTCTTAGTTATTCAAACTATTTAAAGCAAGGGATGAATGCATTATATACCATTCTTGTGCATTTTGAAAATATTTATAAATATGACTACATCAATGATAATTCATAGTAACACAGATTGGCAAACTAGATGATGATGATGATGATGGTGAGGTGGGGGAGGAAGAGGAGGAGCATTCAGCGGCAAACTATATGCATATTCGGGTCGAAAGCATGTTAATACGATATTAATATTTATTCTGCTTTGTACAAGACCAACACGCTGAGTCGATTTTTTTTGGCGTATTAGTTCACAAGGAAACAGTCCACAGGAAAATGTATCACCTTAATTTGTGGTAATTTCAACTCACAAGAAAAACGCACATTAAAGTTTTTGAGAATTAATAAAGATAACAAAACACCGTTAAAATGATGATTTCAAAGTTTTTAGCATTTTTGGTATTGAAAATCACGCTATCAGATAACGACGTCAAAGGAAATAAAATGACGTTAAATGTATTTTTTTGACATTTTTTTCATCTAAACTGTCTCGATCATTACAAATTAACGGTAGCATATTACATGCTGAAATTTATATGTTGGATAGAATATACTATGAGGATGTTCCATTTTCTTTATTTACAAGTTTTGCTGCAATTTATATTTTATCATTTTTTACTCGGACGTTGGGCGCTTTACCGGAGAACCAGTGTGTGACGTCGCAGTGAGGCGTCAAAGCAAAACAATAAAATAATCGTGCAAGACGTCATAATAATTTGAAATACATGCATACTAAATTAAACTTCAAAACTATTATTTTTATCAGTTATTGCAACTTTGGAACCATGATAACCGAATGTGAACGAAAATAGCAACACCGTGTGTGCAACACGGAGAGCAGGATCTGTTTACCCCTAGTCGTTCGAGATTCGGAGGAAACTGTCTTAACTGGTTAATGTCTAGTTTTCTAATTTGTGTTTTGTGAACTGTCATTTGACATTTTTTTGTTAAATAATATGATTACCTCACAAAGTCATATTACAAATTTGGGGTTTGAAATACATAAACCATAAAGTGAAAGGAATAGGCCCAGTAAGACCCCTTTTTGGCCCCAAAATATAGCAGTTTTACAAAATTGTTAAAATGTAAATTTTTAGCTATTTATTGGAAAGAAGAATACTTCTGTTACATAAATATGGGCTGTTTTTGACAATACAATGCATATATATCGGGTACTAGCATCATTAAGTCATGCTAAATTACTTAAATCTTCGAAATTTTAGCATTTTGGTTAATTTTTAGACGGTTTCCGTCTGAAATGGAAGTGGCCGCATTTGTGTTCATTCTTAATATTTAAATGTAAGTTGTATTTGATGATAATACATAACATATATAAAGGTTGAGAATGAACACGGATGCGGCCACTTTCATTTTTGACAAAAACCATCTGAAAAGTGACATATTATGGCATATTTGATAGATTTTTCATATTTAAGCTTGAATTTGAGCGTCTTTAATGACTAAATCAGTTCAAATCTTTCACATAAACTAATTGAATCGACTGAAGTAGACACTTAAGTGTTTAAAAAGTGTCCAAAATCTTTCATCAGATGAACCTGAATTTTGAGGCCAAATCGGCCCTTACCGGACCTACCTAAAAATTTGAACCCTCTCGCTACAAAACAGGCTACGCTTTTCGTCCTGTTTCTAAGCTCATACAAACATATTTTATAATTTCCATTAATGTACATATATTGTATTTATACCAAAATGAGAAGCCAATGCATATACAAGAAGTAGTTCGTGCATGACACATACAAATATATAATGCACTATTCAATTATTTTCTCTTTAATTTTTAAAATCTCAATTAATCAGGAATTATTGTTTTTCAGATGACGTTGATATTACAACAAAACCAGGTGAGACCATCAAGAAAGATTAAATGGAAATGTTATGTCTATAAACAAATTTTCTTTAAGATTTGTAGACCTGTTGGTTTTCCACTTGTCTTAAATCTTGTTAAGCTTTTTAGTTATATCGAGATAACACGCGCGTGTGAAACCTGGAATTGCAAGTATCATGTTCATATCGTATAGGAAATTAATGTTGCTTGATTTCAGCTCTTTTTGTATTATTTCAATATTGAAATAAACGCGCCTTGGTAGAGTTTTAAATGATGTTTTTAATTTGATAAATACGCGATATCAAATTATAACTAGTTAAAACACCTATTTGACTGACCACAGGTTTCTTATATTTTGGACGAAAGGTTAAAACGAACGTAAAGGGAGCTTGAATTATAATCCAACTTTAACACTGATTGTATATGTTTAATTGGTTTAACGACAGTCACGTCTAAATGGAATGTATCTTAAACAATGTAAGCATATCGCGTTTGAAATTTGCTTTTATTGATCCGATATAAAAGTACATAGGTTAAAATACACTTACGTGGGATACGTTACTGACGTAAAGCACGATTACACACATTTGCGCGTGAATTGTTCAAGAATGCATGTCTTTAAATGAACTTTTTGAAGTATGATACCCTAAATTAAACTGTGTTTGTTCATTAATGATCGGCTTTTTCAACATCAAATTGTCAGACAAGGATGATAGAATGTACTGATAAAAAAATCTGCCAGAAAAAAAAAATTGTGATACAGTTTTTTCACCAATTTTTTAAAATTAAATTAGAAAAAAATGACACCTGGAATAGCATGTAAAAGAATTAAATGTAAATCGAATAAACAACTTGATCCTCAACCCCAAACGATACTTAAGCGTTTCCATAGTATTCTCAAAACAAGTGTAATAGTCTGCTTTAAACTAGAAATATTTCCAGTTTATGGTTGAAAAACCTCAAATCATACTAAAAATAACTAAAAATAAAAACTCAGATATTTTGGAAAATCAAACCATTCTCTGTCTGTGACATAGATGTTTGCATAAACACAAGGCGTGATCTAGATGAATAGGCTCGATATATTGTCTGGCGAGCAAATACACATCGGGTACTCCACATTCTATATCCGCCATTGAGTTCTAGTTATAAATCCTGTTTTGTGCCATTGAGTTCTAGAAATGAAAATGTATTTCAAGAATTCAACCAACAATCTTGCGTTATTATAATTTGGGATTTATTAGTGATTATTAAACAGTAACATTAGTGACGATTCTGAATTGCAAACGCATCTACGTATAAAGAGGAAGATTCAATAGCATTCATTTTGATAACAAACGTAATGCTACTCTTATTACTTGTTTTAATGCTAAACATTTCTAAGCTACGGATCTATTTATGATTTATATTTATTCATTGAATATTGTGATAGTATAAGTCTTAAGATAATTCTAAAGAAGTAGTGAACACACGATCATGCGATGTGGGCTTCTGATATCGTATTTAAGGATATACTCTTATGACATGCGTAAAAGTTGACAGTTACCAATTGATCAAGTCAAAATTTTAAACCTTTACTAATCAGTCATTGAACTATGTTTGTACTTTTTACCAATAAAGCAAAAGACTGTAAAGATAATCAGCTGGGTGTGGATTATACTGGAACCGTGAGTGCGACAGACACAGGCCGAACCTGCCAAAATTGGTCAGAAAGGTATCCCCATTCACATGATTTCACAGATAAGTTAGCAGACCAACAGAATTATTGTCGAAATCCTGATAATGAACCATTAGGACCTTGGTGTTATACAACTGACTCTGAATTCAGATGGGAATATTGCACTGTACCATTTTGTGGTATGATTTAAACTGAATGTGTGTTTGTTTGATTGATCGTTAATTTACTTGTAATGTCTTTTAATGTTTTATTGCACAAATCTTGTAAAAAAATACAATTGTGTTTGAGCAATGACTCGCATATTTACAATGCTGTTTACAAATCACGATACACAGTATGCAAATAGCATTGATTAAGTGAAACAGATACACATTGCCAAAAAATATCCTTGGATATAAGATAGTAAAAATCTATGTTTAAGCTTATCCTTTTTATAACGACACATAGGGAATTACTTTAAATCCATGATTAGAAAAAATTGTTGTAATTGTTGGGTTTTTTTAAACAAAAATTGGTGTGTCCATCTGTTAACTTATAAAAAGGCGATGTACAATGATGCATTATTTACATTTGATTAGATGACAAATCAAGATATTGCTATGTTACACATATAATCATTGAAACTAACAGGATATCATATTATTTATTTCCTTGCAATGAGAAAATTGACATATTAGAACTGACTAATATTGACATGAAATGCTTACTATAATTCGATTATTTTTTAATCGCCGTTTTTTATTTTTATTTTAAACCAAATGGAATAGACAGTTTTAATATTGGCAGCCTCTGAAATTTCAATATCTGATATTTCAAAACTTTATAACAACCACGATTCGGAATGCCTTCCACAAATCATTCAGAAATTAAAAAAAAAAAAAAAAAATTTATTGGACATGTGCATTCTACAAGTAATGTTTCCCAAAAAACTTTAGACTTCCCGCTGTTTTATAGGGGTTCGTGCTTCTTAATTTTATTTTGTTTTAGTAGTGTGTATAGTACTTTAATTTGCTCTTTCTTGGTTTTTCGTTTTTTTGGTCTAGGGATTTTTATTTTGTTTTCTATTCCTTAGTTGTGATGAATATCCCGTTACTATGTTTCCCTTCTGATATATTGTCACTTCAGTAATGCTTCCGACTTAACGAAAAGGTATAAGCGTGACTAAAAATGGTGAAGTTGCTCAAAAGTAAATTAATACAATTTGAATTGAATGATTCTTGTTTAGCATTCCTCAGGTTAAAATTCAATAAATGCCTCACTATCAAACACTAATTGAGTAACCCGTCTTAAAGAGGTTTCAACACTTACAATTGCATTTTGGGATGTTTAAACAGGTTTGTTTTCCGTTGAATGAAACACTGTTTTCTTGGATAACAAGTCAGCAGTATGTCTTTTGTTGCCTTCAGCTAGAAAGAGATCGGGAATTATTAACATAAATGAATTTCGTAATTTATTTTGAATATTTCAATTGAACAGATATGATGACAACTCATATTTTACTTTTTTTAGATGGCATAACTATCTCACCAAAACCAGGTAAGTCTTAAAATGAAATTTTACAGATATGTCTTTCATGGATATGCTTTTCACAGTTGTGTTTTTTTTTTTTTTTGTTCTCTGTCAATGTCTTACTATTGATTTCTGAATTTTCAGTATTAGAAATAGAATAATTTTAAGTCAAATTATGAAGTGTTTTGTCGACCGTATCTGCCTTCTATACAAATGTTCACTTATTCTGAAAGAATTCAATCAGCAGTATTTCAGATGATAAATGAGATTAATGCATTATTTTTCCGATTATCAATTTTACAATGTACGCCAACGAGCGAACGTTGTATGCCAATTTTTACAAAGTACGTGACATAACCAATTTATTGTAACTACAACATGATAAGTTGAGCATTGGAGTCACCGTTCTACTTCTTAACTAATTATTTGGGACATGACTTCACCACAAAATACTACGCGTCAAAAACAAAACAATCCATGCAGGCCCATAGTATGTTATGACATTATTAATTTAGTTTCAATATGATAACTTTGCTACCATGTCTGTCATCTTTGTATCTTAGCTACATCGATATTCTTTGATACTACAAATTTTGATGTCTTTGCGTTTATAAAGTTCATGTGATGTTTTATATTGATTTCATTCATATTTAAACACTTTAAAGGACAGGTAAACATTAAATAATTGTAACTTTGATTTATAAACATACAGTGACTTGTTACAAGTATTTGTCACTGCATTTGTGTGTTATTGTACTAGATTCATATTCTGTCAATTGCGGTAAATATTTCAAAACGAAAGCAAATATCTAAGACGTGTTATGAAAACTGATTCTTTAATGGTAATATATTCAACAAAAACAATGTAAATTTACAACATGAATCGCGAATGTTGTTTATGAAAAAAAAAAGTTTTATTGAAAAATTAGCTATAACTAAACTTGTGAAATAATATCTCCTCCAAAATGACTTGATCTAAGAGCTAAGGTCAAACAAACTGATCATAGACTAAAAGAAGTTTGTTTTGTAAGGGAACACCAAAAGTGTATATTGACTACATCCACTCTGACTCAACCAATTGTATTTGTATTGCGTTATTTTAGACCAAAATTGTCGAATGGATCAGCAGGGAAAGAATTATACTGGAAAAATCAATAAAACAAGATTTGGACAAAATTGCCAAGCCTGGATTTCGTTAGTTCCAAACAAGCATCCATTCACGGTTAAATTAGCTGACGATGAAAGTTACTGCCGGAATCCAGACACTGAGTTGTATGGTCCATGGTGTTATACCACTGATCCAGGAACGAGATGGGAATATTGTGATGTACCTTATTGTGGTGTGTATTCAATTATATTCTTCCTTAAGCTGTACTTATTTCAAAGTATTATATCAGTTGTTAGCTCCGTACAAGAGTTGCATCAAATAATATATATCTTGTATTGTCTTTGGTTTTGTTTCAAAGCATGTGCTGAAGTACCAAACAGGTTCAGTTAATATGTGAAGTCATTCATTGTTAATCATTTTGAAATGTTTATACATTTTGTGGCTAACTTAAAGATGTTAGTGCTTATCAAATTACATAGTTATAAGTTGTTAAATCAAATGTATTCATTTGTAAGTAAATTAGGTTATTTAGATCAACTGAAATAATAATACGTTTCTATATACAATTATTGCAGAAGGAGCAGACAATCCAGGTAAGTTGACATTATTACGCTTTAGTTGGCATCATGCCACTCTTTATCTAACCATTTGAAATGTAAAGCTAAAATTTACCAATAAAAACGGATTAAAGGTGTATAATTCTGAAAAACTACGCCATTAAATATGTTTACCGAGTTTTGTCTT